GGTTAGTCAAAGCTCACAGCACTACAGTCTATTCTCCTTATGTTTAGAGCTATGACATCTTGCTGTTTTTTCCATATACACTCCACATGGTTTGCCCAAATGTTTTTCCCCAAATTCCTCCATCACATGAAATAAAAGACTTTGAAGATGATCATTAAGAACTGTTTTTGTTTCTTAAATTGGATTTCACTTTGTCTGCTTGTCTCTTCAACTGCCACTTGGAATAAATTTTAATCCCTCTAATTGTGCAGCTCATGAAAGCGACCTCATATTAAATGTGTATGAGCCAAAACTTTTAACATCACATGAATTATAGCTATATATTTATGTATCATGCCCTACACTTTACACAAGCAAGAGGTGACAATGTCATACAACACAGTATACTAAGTTAAATTAATAAACCAATGAGTAGAGCCAATGCAAATAGTAAGACTGCAACCACGTTTCAGGTTAATTGTGACAAATCAATGAAATTAATCAACACATTTTAATAATTAACAATCTGGTTAACATGCTGCACTGTTTTCCATTCATACAGGAGACTATGGTGTCTCAATCTAATATTCTTCCTCATAGTCCAAAAAAGAACCTGGACTATATTGGCAAAATTTGGCTTTGTTGCTCATTGTATCATTATATGCTTATAAAAGAGACTACACTGGTTAAGATGGGTAGTTAAAGATTAAACACAGGCAGTAAGTGACACTTATGCACAAATTGAATGAGACTAAATTATTCAAATAAAAAGAATTTGTACCACCAAAATCATAACCAAAATGGGAAACACTGTTACATGCAGATAGCAGTGATATTATCACAAACACAGCACTAAAGTCAAAATCTCAGACAAATATACATTTAAAAATTTTGATGAAAAATTTGCCTTACTTGTATTTTTCTGTTATATTTTATAGACTTAGACAAATCTTATTGATCCACACTGGAAACTATTTGGACACAGTGGCTCACATAATAAATATAAAAGCAAAGAGAAAAAATATAAATGGTCAAAATAAATTCAACATAAGTAGCAGAAATAGCGAGAGACTGGTGTCAATCAGGCGTAATTATAAAGTGTATATGTATGTAAATATAAAGTGTAAATAAAAAATAATACATTTGTACATTTGTATGGAGTATGGTATGAATGTAGTTCTATCCTATAGCCCTAGACGCTGTTTACATTACTGCTGTCCGACCATGTGCAGCTTTGGGCTGACAGAAGACCAGAAAGCACAAGTAAGTCTGAACAAAGGCCAGGTGAGAGGAGGGGGAACATGTGTCACATTTGAGTTTATTAGTAAAAATAAATCAGATAGCAGCTTTAAAGGTACATTTTGTATTTTTTCTTGTTGAGGGTCTGCCATCTGCTTGTGTCCATGGAGAGGAATTGATTGTTTTGCACACATTAAAAGCATTAACCATTAAAAACATTATACCACTGAGCCAAGTTACAAGTCAGACCTGTGTAGAGGTGAGTCTGCTGTCTTTCAAGGTACTTCGCAATAAAATGTCTGCAACTGAATAAATGTAGGATAGAAAGGTTTACTGTGGAGCACTCCAGGCAAAGCAACTTTGTTTAGATAGAGGACCATCATCAGAAATATTACTACTGCACCTAAATCCTAATCCTCATAATTATATTAAAATTATTCATTTCACTGTTCAACTACTGAACAACATGAACCAGTGACCTTCTGTTTGGCGGGTAAACTCTTAACTCAGTAAACAGCTGCTCTCTAAATTACAGGAACAAGCCAATATCAAGTGAGAAAGAAGTTCATTTAGTGTCTGTCAGTAGCATCACCACGTCCTTGTACTTTGAGGTTTTATACACCATTAAAGTCTTAACTCTAAGCTTTAATTAGCTTTCATGTGCTATGTTAAGAAACACATTGCTTTTTAATTGTCCATTCAAGTGTCTGCAATATTTAGATGTCAACAAGTCAAGTTTTAAAGAGGGGGTATGAGGCAAAATTTTGTTGAGCTTTCTACCATGTTATAACAAGCCTGAAGAGGTTTTTGATGTCACACATGCATGTTTCTGTAATTTAGCAATCTCTCTTATTCAAACCTTGCTTACGGTTAGCTTTCAAATTCTGGCCAATACTCAGCCCACAAGCCTGCGTCATCCACGCTCCCACACAAATATAAGACAAGATACAAAACTGCACACAGCATTTCGACAAACCTGTGATGCACGCTAATTGTGTTGTGATAGTGCTCTGAAGAAAGAGTGTTTCAAAGCCTAAAAACAAAAGTGAAACTTACAATACATGTTTATACATTATACTGATTACAGATTATACTGTAGAATTTTCAGAACAATTAAAGATAATATGGTGAACTCAACTAAATATGTTGTGTTAGAAGTTAATAACCTATACATTTAACATACGCCGTCTTTAAAGAACCCATATTACACTATTTTCTGATCTCTGTTAGAATGTTTTTTCCTCATAACAAACATATCTAGAGTTGTGTTTTGTTTCATTCACACATGTTTACCACAAAACCATGCATATTTAGGCTGAGTTCTTCTCTCAAACAGAAAACACTCCACCTTGTTCCACCTTGTAATGTCTTGTGGTGAAGTGCTCCACTGTGTTTTTAAACTCCATTCATCTTCACTAGAATCATTTGGATGATTTCAGCCCTGGAATTGACCAGTATCCATTGAACTAAAGGTAGGAGGTGTTCACTTGAAAACTACCGTTTATGACATCAGAAGGTGGAACAGAGCATTTTGAGCTTTGGAGATATAAACAGACTAATAATAAAGTTTTACTCAAACATGTGAATGAAACAAAACACAATTCCAGGTATGTTTTTAAGGAGGTAACAATATTATAGCATAGTTTAAAGCTCTCAAAAGTTCATTTTGCACAATACAGGACCTTTAACCAACCCAAAATTTGGTTAGGTAAGAGGTCGGATTTAAAACAGGGAAACTCCATTTGAACATTTCAGCTCAGGGTTCGGGGTGACTTTTGTCCTGGAGTTGTAAATATGCTGTGGTCAACCACAAGAATCTGGACTGGCTCTGGCTTTAAGCGCCTAGTCTCATATGTGAAGTCGTTTAACATGCTGACACAATGCAACAAAAAATTAAATTGCCAAACTCCAAGATGCCATTTTTTGAGATTCCCATGGTTTTGAATAGACATTATTAAAATGGTGTAGAAAGCTTGAAATTATGTCTGAGATTTAATGTTGAGTCAATTATAGAGGAAATATAAATGTCTGTGTACTTATTTGTGTGTTTAAATTACAATTAAATATGGCAAGACACCAAATCTTCAAACAAATATCCAAACAGTTATATTTAGGCTACATGGTTGGTTTGTAGTCTTGTGAAAATATCATTCAGTGGATGTCAAATGAGCATCTTCATGTCTTAATGTCAAAATGCTGCTTCCTTAGTTTAAGTTGAACATATTTCAATTTTGCATTTAAAATACACAAACATAATTGAACACTGACCACACAACTTATAATGCATTTAAAATGGTGATGGTCCAAGACTATCCAGAAACGTGTGAAAATCATAAGCATATACTATTGATCCACATAGTAGAGAAATATGCCCTTTTCACTTGACCTGTCCTTCCATGCAGATGAAGTGCCTGCATAGAAAAGCTCAGGGATCCAGATCTTGGACTAGGCTTTGTCAGGAGTAGAGACCAATTCTGCATGTTGTTTTAGTTGATGGGATAAACCAGAAGCTAGTGCCTCCACTCAATCGCACTTCTTTCCAGCAGAATCAGAATACACTAAATGGTTTACAAGAACCCTGGAAGTTGTAGACCGCGCACTGGCCAATCAGCAGAGAGCTGTGAAGCCATGATGTCAAACTCAAGTGCCTGTCTGGGTCCCTTTTGCGGTACAGCACAACAGCAAACAAAGTGGTCGAGATGGATGTAGTCGAAGCCATACATCCTGTGTTGACAACGATTCCTGAGATCAAGGATTTAAAGCCGGAACAAAAAGAATGTTTGGTTATGTTTTATCAAGGGGAAAGATGATATAACCCTTCTTCCTACAGGATTTAATGAATTACATATGTCACGACTGAACAGCAGCATTGGTTAAATAAAAAAGGTACCTGCATACCGTTGAGTGAACGAATCCTAATGCTGCGAGGTCAGATGGTTTCTACGAAATGAAACCGGCTGATGAATCAGGCTAGTGAACCAGACTGTCAAGATTGAACCATAACACAATCCAAGAAATCTCAAATACACAGAAATCCATACATACAACTCAAAACATGAACATGGACTTCTTGCTGTGAGGAACTGACAGGCTCTACCTCCTCACAGTGGCATTTCATTTAAACAGTTGCAAGGACATACAGAGCAGTGGGTGAAGAAAGACAGGGGTATGTGCACACAGAAAGTTTCTAAGCTTTCAAGCCTTCAATGCAGAATGACTCAAATGTGAATGAATCATTATACTATGAGTGAAGTAACGATGAAGGAACACCATTACAAGATAGGTCAAAGCACATAAGACTAAGACTCAACTGTCTCTTTTAAGTTTGTTTGTTTTAAACACAAGTATTACCTAGATTAGAAGAAGTCCACTTCTTCCTGCCCATATTTGACAAGCATGTGTACTTCTTCACAATGACAGCAGATCGGATCAGGGCAGATTTAACCCTCATCTCAACTCTCTCGCTTCTCCCTCCTCACTCTGCTTCTCTTTCTACCCCCCGTCCAATCTCTCTCTCTCTCTCTTTCTCCTCCTCTTTGCACTTATCCTTGCTGTAGTTGTAGATGACTTATTCTCTCTAATCTTTGTTGTGGTTCTCTTACCCTCTCTCTCTCATTCTCTATCTCTCTATCTCATTCACTCTCTCTCTTTTTCTCTCTCTCTCTCTCCACTAATCTTTGTTGTGGCTCAGACTCTCTCTCCTCCCTCTTCCCTCTCTCCCTCCCTCCCTACTGTACTATATAAGCCACTCTAAGCCTGTGTTTCTCCCTGACAGGACCAAAGCATGTGCTAGTTGAACACTACTAGAAACTCCACCATGACCCCCGCGTTGACCTCGTACGCCTCCCCTCTTTCGCCCGGATGCCCTCCCATTGGCCCCTATGCATCTACAGGTACGTTTTGAACAATCTTGTAGTAAATTGTAGACTTGGAATTCTGCACAATAGTGTTTGTTTTGAGTGGATGAGGGGGTGGCAGAGTTTTGACATGTCAGGAATGTGGCTAACCCTTAAAATATCCTCAATGGAGTAAGTAGGAAGCACGGTATTGTAGAAAAAGGGGCTGGTTTCCTTCATTGTGATAAGAAATGCCAAATAGTTGACCTGAAAGAAAGCTGTGTTACTTGGATTACTTGGTTGAACATAGTCAACATGCTTTTTTAAATTGAATTTCTTAAAATATTATGAGATGCATTTTAAAGCTCCTCTGTGTAACTTTTAAGCTTATAAATAAACTAAAATAAAAACCTTTATTTAATTATTGCCCAGAAATATTGGAGATAAATATGAGCATCACCAAGCCTAATCGCAATAAAAATGTAAATAGGACATTGACAATATTTGCATGCATAATTGTATTGAGATCTGTGCTGCAATGTGAAAAGTTAAAACTCTACAGGTATATATATCAAAAAATATTCTCAAGTCTACCCTAAATTGGAAATAAGAAATATTTGTATTTTAATCTGTATTTTTTCAATCTTAACTCAAAATGTTTCTTCTAATATTCTAATTAGATTGGTTACATTTTTGTCTATTTTAATAGCTATCTTGATTCCTGATTGATTTTCTTTCTGCTGTTCTTGAAATTATGTTGCAATACTGGAATTTCAACATCTTCTAACTTATCTCTTTTCCCATGGAATTTTGAGTGTCAAAACTGCTGAGCTGTTTGTTATATGAAAGGAAGTTTATTTTAATCACACACAATGTTTGACATTGACATTTTTAAAACAATACAATGTCAATATAACAGTGACTGAAAAGGCTAATGGTAAATGGTAAATGGTCACATTTTTCTATAGCGCCTTTCCACCTTCAAGGCACTCAAAGCGCTAAGGCAGAAGCAAAGCCTTGACTGCCTAGACTAACTATCTAACTATAATGTTGCTGTGTGTAATAAATGTGAAATTTTAAATTAAATGAAAATAAAGGGCAGAGATGAATTCCAAGTTATCTTATTGAGTTGGGCTAAGCCACGAGATAGTGTCCAATAGAATGAAACAAGATTATATTTTTACATAATATATATAATTAAATAGTGTGGCCACGTACACAATTTTGACCTTGCAATTTTTTAGAAACTGCAGCATCTCAAAGCATAACTTACCAGCACTTAACTTTTTCTTGACCAAGCAAGTTTGTAACATATAGTAATACATTAACATGGGAAGATCTGGTCCTACCCCTTTATTATTTTTATTTTTAAGGCAGCCCTTTCAATATCAACCTATCACTATCATACAACCAGACCTAAAACCTTATCAAAACTAAGTACTTTTAACAGTTACATTATTGTGTTAATTTTGCAGATGTGGCAGCAAACACAGGGAGGTCATGTGCTGTGGAGGAATGTAGAATGAGATTGGTGTTCATCACAGCTGCCTATAAAACCCTTACGTCTACTGTTTATTGGGTAGGATGGTGCTGTGATGCTGCTCCGCCCACTCAGACACACACACAGACAGTCTGGGCCAGGGGATCAGGGCATAACATGAGGACAATTAGCTGAAAGATTTTAAGATTTTAGTCTGTGTGTAGTGAAAGTAGAGAAGGTGAATAAAACTCAATTGTTTGAACTGTACTTTTTAGTGCATCTGGCTTTTTGTGTTGTCATGGTTCCTAAAGCTGCACTATATAACTTGTCTTGGTGAAGAACTGTGCCACGTGCTTGTCTCCATGGAGATATTATTGCTTTACATTATGGTATTAAACTGCATTGCGTTTGTTAATGCATGTGTGAGATTGACAATTTTAAAGAGAGAGTTCGGAATTTTGGAGATAGGGCCTCATTTCCTAGTGAGCCAGAGTGTTGGAGACGTGTGGAGACACTTTTTAAAATATTCCATCCAGTCCTTGTATTTGCAGAGGTTGCTGGTGCTAGGCTAGTGCATGTCAATGGCCATAATTAGCCTGCCGGGTTAGGGTTTTACACACTCCACAAAGCACCCAAAGCAAATCTATTATTACGCCAGAGTATCAATGTAAATGTCTATGTTGATAGAATAATGTTGGATATAAAACTAATCTTGTATTGCATGAAACGTTGCATGCTGAGGAACTATTTTCTCATATATCAGTCCGCCACTACCAAGCATTCTATCAGAAAGTACAACTCCCTGCTGCTGCTCAGACATAAATCCTGCAAATGCAAGGTTGGTCTTACTTCTAAAATTATTCTATCAACATAGACATTGACATTGATACTCTGGGGTAATAAAAGATTTGCTTTGCTTCGGGTGTTTTGTGGAGTGGGTAAGACTGTTTTTAGTGGCAGGATAACTATGGCCATTGACATGCACTAGCCTAGCACCAGCGACCTCTGCAAATACAAGGACTGGATGGAATTATCATATTATCAATATTATTATGTGTTGCAGGAGCCATAGTGGTAAAAAAATATCTGATCATTTGCACATACAGAGAAGATGTTGAACTTCGTGCCATGTGCATTTTGACTGTTAAAAAGCAAATTCCAGTATAGAACTCTAACCTGCCCTCCACTCAACTTTTAAGCCATATGCACTTTATCATGTTAAGATATCACCTTAACCCAGTCTATTGAAAAAATGGGTCAAATGCAGAGAACACTCCTCCCTGTAGTATTATCTTAGTTTAGCTTCACAGTTGTGTCCAATGCTAGCTTCATGTTTTTCTTGTGCTATTGATGCAATGTGCTTCTTTGTTGGTGTAAAGTGCCCTATAAATAAAGTTTGATTGAATATCTGAGCACTTTGTTCCTGTAGATCTTCCCATGAATCATGCCTCTGTTTTGGGATTGGTTTTGGCCAGTGTGGTTCTACACAATCACCATGTTTTTTGTAGTACTTATTTGGTTTCAAAGAAGTTTAATTGCTATACATTGCTATGAGAGTCTAAACAATAACTTTTGATCTTTGGTTTAGTCGTCTTACCCTGTATCATGGCAAAGAATAGATTTTCCACCCAGAGACCACCCAAAACACTTAAAGGCACCGTGTGTGATTTTTACTGTCTTCAAAAGGTAAAAAACACTAGTTTATACTAAATGGTTTGCAGTGGTCCAGAGTTATTTCTAATGCATTTTTAGTGATATCTTGAGGTGACAGAAATCACTATAATTTGCCATTAATTAAAGATATAGTACATAACTTTATGGAAGGTCCTGTATGATTCCATGGAAATAGAAAGTTAAAACCACACTTCAGAACTTTCTCCAAGGAGATACATATGTTTTATTCCATACTGTGGAAGATTCTAGCCAAAAGAGCAACATTTCCAACATGGGAAACAAGCCGGAGAAGCCCTCCTCCAGGAAAAATAAGAGTCAGGTTTATGGAGATGCAAGCCTGCTCACTGGAAGAACACGTTTTTATACATTTTTCAGTGCAATCACAATCTGCACACACATCAAAATTAGGACTAAACCAGGAACTAATGTGGGGAAGACCAGGACTAAACCAGGACTACATCAGGACTAAAATAGGTCAAATGTGAACACCCCTTTTTGACTCAAAAAGTTGCTATTTGTGCTCAATTTAACAACAAATATGAACAAAAAATATACTGCACTGCAAAAATCGTAATTGTCATAATACCCAACTACTACTGATCCTTGCAAATAATATTTCCATGACCTCTTACTAGCTTTTGCCCTTGCGGGTAGGTCCCCCATATGTTTTCCCCATCTGACAGCTCTCCTTCCAGCCATACCCCAGCACCAGTCCCCCTCACCCTGGCCCGGAGGTTAGCTTTGGCTGGCGCTTATGGAAATCTGTGGTTCTCTCCAGCTATCTTTGGGGTTTTGGTGCTGTGGTACGTACTACATGTGTTAGAGAGGGCTGTGACCACACCGAGTTACACTGTGAAAAACACACATCATCTGGAGTGGTTCATGCAGAGCTCAAATGCAATGTCATGATTGGATGAGATGGGAAAAACAAGGAATTAGAAATGTTTTGTGGGTTCATTATCCATTGGCAGTCAAAACATTGAGGAATTTTGTGTCCAATCTCTGTAATTTTGTGTTTTTCCATTATGTTTCACTTCATTGTACACAGCAGTTTCTCCTCAACAAACACAAAGTCCAAATGTCTAACAGAACCACATCAACCTAGAACATTTACAAAAAGGAAATTTCTTTGTAGTCCTGACCAAGCCTAACTCAAGCTATGGAGATGAGTCTACTGCTTCTGACATGTTGTCACAGTGGCATTGAAGTATAGGTCAAATGCAGTGGACAAATTTCTTCATTGGGTCAGAAGAAAGTACTGTTCAGTTTCAATGTAAAATTTGAAACCATTACTTAAAATACCAACAACAATAACATTAGATATTTAGCTTCCTTCCACCATCCAAATTTATGAACGCAAGAAAGGATGAGTCTTCCTGCCCAAAGTAAAATTAAGGAGGACATATTGGTATACAAATTGGTCTTTAAAGGTGCGCTATATAACTTTTTGGTTGGGGTTCTGTCATCTGCTAACTATGGATATGTCATTGCTCTGCCAGGATTGTTCCTAAGTATGAAATCAAACAGCGCTACCTTACATTTGTTCAGTTACAGTTGGTTTTATAGCTCAAAATCACCTAGAAAAACATGTAATTGTTATGTAACAGTTCCTGGTTCAGAATGTAAACCCAAAATTGTTTGCATTTTCTGCAACTCAACAAGACAATGTAGGAATACATAAACTGATTTATTTAAATGATAATTGTAAATAATATATGCACAGCTCTTGTCGAAGTCGTTTTAGCAGAGGGAAGAAAATAAAAAATACATTTCCGTTTAGCATTCAGGCAGATATGCAGGTTTAGAATGCAATGTTCTCTATATGTACAAAGTCAAACATGGAAGGACATTAAGTTAAGTATTTAATGTTGTGAAATCCTTCTTGGCTTGGCATTATCTTTCT